AGGGTAGGCAGAGTGAAATAATGTTAAGTCTTGGCTGTTGCTGTGAGCTGTCCGGCCATGGCACTCTACCCAGGGGGACAGCTTGAGGCCTCAAAAAAAAAAAAAAAAAAAATGCAGAGAGGACATCTGTGCTGTCAGTACAAGTGAAGGAACTGTAGTGACTGTTAGTCCAGTTAGCAAGGAAGGCAGAATCAGCAAAAAGGCAAAGGAAGAGAATCAACCAGCGTTTAGCTGTAAACAAATTTACAAAAAAAAAAAAAAAAGCCACAAAAAACATCTCCCCAAGGAGGCCCATTACTGGAACCCTGGAGGGGGCAAGTTGCCAGAGCTAGCGTGACAGGCTCCTCAGGCCTGGGCTCTGGTTATTAAACCAAGTATCCTGACCACACTGCTGGATCAGCGAGTCGTCCTCCAGCGCCGGAAGAGGGGACTTCCAGCCGCTGGTCCCCGGGTCCCTCCGGCCGCCGCCCCTCCCCCGGCCGCCCCGCCCGGCCCGCCCCGGGCTCCCGCGGCCGCGCCACCCGCTCCCGGCCTGGCCTGCCCTCTCCTGCCCGCTGACCCGCCGTGGTTCCCGTTCCTCTCCCCTCGGCCGGGCTGCGGGCTCGGCGGGCCGCCCAGACCCGGAACTGCTGAGGCAGCGGCGGCGCGCGGCGCTTGGCTCATCCCGGGCTTCCCCGCGCTCGCGCTCGCGCTCGCGCCCGGCAGCGGCGTCGCACGCACCGCGCCCGCGGCCCAGCCGCCTCCCCGCGTTCGCTGCCGGGCGCCGGCCGTCGGGTTTCCACAGGGAGCCCGCGTCGGTGCCATGCGGGGGCTCCGTGCGGCGTCGGGAAGGTAGGGGAGGTGAGGTGAGGTGAGGTGAGGTGAGGTGAGGTAAGGTAAGGTGAGGTGAGGTGGGGCGGGGGTAGTCGGGACGGGCTTACCCCGCGGCGGCTCGGGTGGGTTGAGGCGCAGGGCGGGGGTGGGGACGGCGGGTCGTCACCGAGGTCGCCTCAGACGGGGTGGGCCACCGACTGGGGAGGGCGGAGAGGCTGGGACCTGGGAATCCGCCGCTGGTGCGCGTCTGCCCCTCAGACAGTCCCGGGGCGGCGAGTGGCCAGTGGCGGAGACAGGGCGGGCGCGGAGCTGCAGCCTGTGCCCTCCTGAGCCGAGTGCCGGCTGGGGGACCCGGGACCCGGCGGGAACGCGCGGTGCGTGGAAACTCACGGTGCACTGGGAGGGAGGGCAGTCACCCGCTCGGATCTGCAAAATGAACTTCAGAGGGAGCGGAGGGTAGGAGAGGCTGCGGGAGGAAACCGTCCTGGAATAAGCGTGTCGCCTTAGGTGGTCACTTTAGAGGGACCCCCAGCCTGGGGTGGGAGGGCTGGGGCTGCAGGAGAGCGAATCTGCACGGGGAGAATGAATATCACAGTAGGTATGAAGCCCCCGTCGTCCAAATCGCAGGGGCTTTGGGGATGATTGCTAAGTGAGCAGTAGTATGTAAATCCTGGAGGGAAAGCTAGGAGTCTGCTCAGCTGTTACGGCCTTAAAACGGGCTATTCAGGTGCATCGCGGTTTAATCTCGTGAACTTCTGTCCCAGCATATAAAGGCACGTGACCTAATATGAGCGTCATGTCAGGATTCAAACGATATAGCACACAGGTCGACACCCTGCAATTAAAAAACAGGACTTGAAGTCAACAAGTAATTCCCCACTTAAAATTTGCTATGTAAACAGAACAACTGTTGTTCTGCAGGAAAGATGTTCCAACATTTTCACAGTAAGAATTAACAGGTGGCTTTATTTTAATTGTCATAGTTCTCTTATGACAAATAGTGGACTAGTTTTTTCTGGGAGGGGGACTAGATTTATTACTTTGATTGTATTTCGAAAATAATGTAACTCTTTATCCACCACAAATTTCTGTTGTAAATAGAAGAAGATTGATATCATTTTGTACTTAAGCTGTTTTTCTTTGCAGGTGATTTATTTGGCACGGAAATCTTTAAAGATGGCAGAAGCCGTTTTGATTGATCTCTCTGGTTTGAAGTTGAACTCTCAAAAGAACTGCCATCAGGCATTGAATGCTGTCCAGTACCACCATGCAGCCAAGGCCAAGTTCCTTTGTATAATGTGTTGTGGTAACATCAGCGGTGAAAGGGATGGTGAACATGATAATTGTGAGTTAGAAACAAGCAATGGATTATCAGCCGTCTTGGGAGAATTTGAGACTGTTAGCAATCCCAGCATGGCTGCCTCTTTGTATATCTTTAAACAAAAAATAGATGAAAGAAATCTGAGCAGTATTAAAGTAATTGTACCTAGGCACAGAAAAACATTAATGAAAGCTTTCATCGATCAACTCTTCACTGATGTTTATAATTTTGAATTTGAAGATTTACAAGTCACTTTGTGGGGAGGCCTTTTGAAACAATCCATTGAAATAAAGGTAATCACAGCTCAAGAACGGGAAGAAATCCAGAGTGAAATAGAAACATATTTGAGAAGTCTGCCTGCCCTGAAAGGGGAATTAACTATTATCACTTCTCCTTTGATCCCAGGTATATAAAACACTATTTGTTGTTTTATTGTGTGCATAAAGATCCAGTCTTTCTTCAGAGATTGTTCACCTTTTTTCTTCTTCCTTTCTTTTATTGACTATTGTGGGCTTATTACTCATTAGAATCAGTTGTAACATGGAGGTGTGACATGGACGGCCTTGTGGTATCAGGGGTGTCAAGATGTAACTCCTTCAAAGCCACCCTAAACAAAAAATTTGCCTTATGCAAATTAACTTTTAAGACAAACCTCCAGCCTTCATTTACAGTGAGATCTATGACCCTGAAAGTCTACTTAGAAATTCTGAAACTTCATCTCATTGGCACTTTCATAGAAGAGTGAAATTTAGAACAGTCAATCTTATTTCTTGGTCAAATAGTATTTACTGTGAGCTATATGCTGTTGGGTGTAACAGCATGGGACAGATGGACAGAATATACCCCTTGAAGAGGAATAATTCCATGGGGAAGGTAAAACAAACACAAGGTAGACTTTAGTAAGCTCATCTCAAGGTACTGAATTGAAATTGGAAGCCAGATAAAGAGCAGGTAAGTGTTCAGAGAAGTATTTGAGACACTGGGTTTTGTAATGCTTTGTAGTCTTGTTTAGTATCATTTTAATCTTTACTATTTATCTTCAACAGATATTTTTCTACATGGATTTACTACAAGAACAGGTGGAATATCTTATATACCAACTCTTAGTTCATTCAATCTCTTTAGTAGTTCCAAACGGAGAGATCCCAAGGTAGTTGTTCAAGAAAATCTGCGTAGGTTGGCAAATACTGCAGGATTTAATATGGAGAAATTTTACCGAATAAAGGTAAAATTTTGCTTTGTATTTTGGAAGATCAAAAGTATATTTTTTACTCTGCTAGTAGTTGCATGGACTTTAGTTAAGCTATTTAACTTTTGCATCTGGTGTTTTATCTAAAATTTTAGGATAACATTCTGGTTGTTTTTCTTAGATTTATACATTACAGCCTAATGGTTAATTTAGACTTACACATCATAGCATGAAGGTCAATTCTGTGATACACACACACACACACACACACATATTAAGTCCTCACTTAACATTGTTTTTAGGTTTTTGGAAACTGCAACTTTAAGCAAAATGACTTATAGTGAAATCATTTTTACTATAGATTAATTAATATAAATATCAGTTAACTTACTAAAGCACACTTCTGCTCATGAAAACATTATTAAACTTCTAAACAAAGATCAAAAACTTCTCATATTAAAGGCTGAAATATGTGGAACTATACCTCTAAGAAAGATTAATATAAACAAATAAGAGAATTATTTATGCATTTATTCTGGTTCAGGGTTACCCTTGGCTGGAGCTTATCCCAACAACTTAGAGCCCAGCTCTAGATAGGACATTATTCCATCACAGGGTACACTCACACTCTTACCCCTACACTCAGATAGGGACCAAGTAGACATGCCAATTCATCTAATATGCACATCTCTGGGATGTGGAAGGAAACCAGAGAGAAAACCCATACAGACTAGAGGAGAATGTGCAGACTTCACCCAAACAGTGGCCTATATGGGGGATTGATTTTTTTCCCTAACCAACATTATAACAAAATGATGCTGAATGAGATGACATTATTCAAGGATCTGCTATATTTTTCATCTGGATTCCTCAATTCGGAAAGTATAGTTAATTTTCAAGAGTAGTGGACTTTCTGATTAAGATGGAGGGTAAGTAAATGGTGGAAGAGAAAGGCCATTATTTCCAAACTCAACACTAGGAGGAACTAGGGTCATAATAGATTACATAATTTCTTGTTCCTTACAGAATTCTAGCTTTCCTTGAGTCTAGGAAAAGTAAAAATATTAACTTGGTAATTAACTTTCTTTAATAGGAAAGTTAAATTACTACTTTGTGGGAAGTGCTACTAGTAAAGATTTATCCACCTGTAGTGGAAAGTGTTCAGTATCCGACTATGTTGAATTTTATAATGTTAAAGCCTACTTTTCTTTGAATAAAATATGCAGAGATTATATACCACAAGATTAAAAAGTTAAGTAAATTTGATATTTTACTGTATACAGAAGTGGTGTATTTATTGAATGTCAGTAATCTTACACTGATTAAGTAATTTTGTACTAAAATGAATACTTTCCAAAAAAGCTTATGGGAGGAGAAATTCCCTTTTCAAAACACTTTCACTGAATTTTTACATCTTTACCATTAATTAGACTGATCATGCCAGTGATGTCTGGATTATGGGAAAGAAGGAGCCTGAATCTTATGATGGAATAACCACAAATCAGAGAGGTGTCACAATAGCGGCTCTTGGTGCTGACTGTATACCGATAGTTTTTGCAGATCCTGTCAAAAAAGCATGTGGGGTTGCTCACTCTGGTAAGTATACTAAATTAAGCATTTAGAATTTTACTAATTTTTTAGTACAGAGAAAAAAATATAGTTTCTGGAGCAGTTGACAGTTAATTATGTTACATTGTAATAAATGGAATGATGATGTACGGCCAGCATACCCTTATTAGAGGGGCTGATAAAAGGAGCATCCAAGTCAAATTATATCAATCATAGTAGAATTTTCAAAGGAGGTAGTATCTAGGTTGATTGCTGAGGAATTTGTTGGATTTGGCTGGGTACCAGTATTTCTCAGCAAGGGTGCTATGGGTGCTATTAACATTGTGGCTAAGTTAATCTTACATTACAGATTAAGTATCTTTGACCTTTTAAATTCTTAATGTCAATAACACCTCCAGTTATAGTAATAACCCAAACAAACAAACCAAAATACAACAAAAACACTTCCATGCTTTTCAGAATACTCCCTAGGGTGAGGTATTACCTCTGGTTGAGAATTCTTGAAGTTCAGGCAATAGAAAATAGGAATGTTAGGCACATTGCAAGACGGTGTTCATACAGAGGAGCAGCATGTGTAAAGGTAGGAAGGTAAGAAAAAGCAAGCTGTTTTGAAAACTGCGTTTAGTTTAAGTTAGTGCACTTAATCGTCACTATTCTCTGAAGATAAGAGCAAAGAAATATTTTTCAAATCTATATTGTGTTAAGGTTATGAAATTTTGTTTTCTGAAGGTCTTTTAAAGTAGTATTTACATTATCCAGTGGTTAGGGTTCTGTGTGAAATGAGGGATGATCTTGAAAATTTCCTTCTATTTGTAAATCTGTTACTACTTTCCTTTTGTTTTTCTTCTGACTAGCTGAAGTAATGGCATTGCATGAGAATTCAAGTTTAATATGTGACATTGTCAAAAAGTTATTAAAACGTTAGTCTTAACTCTCGGATTTAAAAGGGGAATATTTGTTACTTCTTAAGCTTTTAAACATTAAGTTTTAAAGTAGCCAAGATAAAGCAGTCAAAATGAAGATATAAGTGTGTGTTTTTAAGTCATTTATAAATTAACCTTAAATAGACTATAATTAGATATACTGTATACTTGTATTTTATCATCTATATATAAAAAGTGTAAAGTCTTGTGGGACTAATTTAATAAAAATCTTTTAACCAGATATGTATATATGCATATGCCTTTACTGTATGAAAAAATATCAGATAGAGGGGAGTGGATAAATTATAGGTGAGAGGATAATTAAGGAAGATCTCTGAGGAAGAGAGCTACTCTTGTTCTATAGAAATGCCCAGACAATATTTCTCTTTAGCTCAAAATACCTATACCTAGTTGCTTCCCTGTAAACGTCATTACCTACATATTCATAGGTGCCTGTAAATCATTGTGTCAAAAACATAACATTTTTCTCCTAAAGCCTTCTGTACCATATAAGTTTCCTATTTTGATATTTAATATCCCATTCACTTACAAACCCCTCTAGAAACATGATCTTTTCATTCGGTTCTTCCTATAACCACATACCCATTGGTTTGCCAGTGGTGGTTGGACCTGTAACCTAAGTACTTCTTGTTTTGGTTATCTCTTCTCTTTATCTGGAAAAATTGATCTCTTTACCTAAGTGCTTAGCTTTAGAAGGGAATATGTTATCCAGCCCAGATCAGCTGAATCAAACTCAGATACACGGAATAAAGGAGAAATGCAGTACTCTTAGCTTTATGTCCTTGGCAACTAGATGGGAGCAGGAGTAAAGAAATGGTTTCATCAGAGAGCTCCATGGGATCTGATACAGAGAAGACAAAACTGGCAAGGGAATGATAGTTTGGGCAAATGGGAAGGATGCAAAAGGAAACTATTGGTTGAAACATAATAGATCTATTTTAGGGTAAAAAGTGAGGGAGAAATGAAAGCTACAAAACATTGCTGAAAGAAATTTAAAAATGCATAAATAAATGAAGAGAAATCTCATATTAATGGATTGAAAATTAGAGAAATACAAATCAAAACCACTATGAGATATTACCCTCAAATACATTAGAATGGCGCATATATATATCTATATATATATCTGAAAATAAGTGTTATTGAGGAAGAAGAGAAATTTGAATAGTAGTACACTGGTGGTGGGAATTTGAAAATAGTGTGGCCACTGTAGAAAACCTATATGGTGATGACACAAAAATTTATGAATAGAATTACCAAGTGATCCAGCAACTCCCTTTCTGGGTATATCTCCAAAAGAATTGAAAGCAGAAATTCAAAGATATATTTGAATACCCATGTTGATAACAGCATTGTCAACATAAGAATAGCTAAAAAGTGGAAACAACCTGAGTGTCCATTTCTAGATGAATGGACAAGCAAAATGTAGTATGTCCATATAATGGGTTCAGCCTTTAAAAAGCATGAAATTCTGACACATGCTATAATACAGATAAATTTTGAGAACATTAGGCTAAGTTAAATTAGTCATTCACAAAAAAATACTGTTTTGGTTTCCCTTATTAGAGGTAAGTAGAGTTATTGAATTTGTAAGAACTGGTAGAAGAATGGTAGTTGCCAAAGGCTTGGAAAAGGAGAAACAGGGATTTATTGTTTAATGGTTATAGAGTTTCAATTTTATAAGATGAAAACTTTCTAGAGATTGGTCGTACAACAATATGAATTTAACACTATTTATCTGTACACTTAAGAAAGTAAAAAGGGTACATTTTCTGTGTTTTTAACCACAATTTTTTAAAATTAAAAGTAAGAGAGAAGACTAAGAAGCTGTACTTCCCAAAGGAAGTTAAAAGTACCATAGCACACATTTAAATGGAAGTGAAAGGAAACACCTATTAAATGTTTCTTCTGTGTTAGGTGCTTTGTATCTCATTTAAAAGTCAAACTATAATGTAATAACTTTGTAGTTCATTTATTATTCTGGACTTTGAAACATATGCAAACTAAATCTGTTCATTTTTAGCTTAGACATAAATTCAGACATAAATATTGGTGAAATATTGTTATATTTTAGTTTTCCTTATATCTTTTTCTTCCTATTTACCAGGTTGGAAAGGTACTTTGTTAGGTGTTGCTATGGCTACAGTGAATGCTATGATAGCAGAATATGGCTGCAGTTTGGAAGACATTGTTGTGGTACTTGGACCATCAGTAGGACCTTGCTGTTTTACTCTTCCAAAGGAATCAGCAAAGGCATTTCATAATATTCATCCTGCGTGTGTACGACTATTTGACTTACCAGATCCCTATGTTGACATCCGTAAAGCCACCAGGTATGTTTCCTTTCATACTAGAACTGCAAGTTTAGTTACTGCTATTTCTCAATGAAAATTATTTTAGAAAACAATTAGTAATGTTAAGAAAAATTCAGGTGGCTATTATTTAAGTAGCTGGCATACATGTATACACAAAAACTTATTTTAAATATGAATTTCATTTTCATTTAGATTTGAATAACAGAAATTTTCCTGTCTGGCATCTTTAATTGATTTAAAGGTGAAGGAAGGAACACTGGCATTTAGTTTTAAGAGATCTATTTAAACTTCATATAGAAAAGTTGATATAACTTCATAACAATTCCTCTGCTAAATTTTCCTAAATATAATAAACTATCAGGAAGCTGATATTTTGGAATTATTCTTACTCTCTAATTTACTAGAGAAATATATTTCTTAGGAAAATATTAGATAATATAAACAGTCACATTCAAGTTTTTTATGGTCCCTTGCATTTTTGAATCTGTAAGTTTTGCTACTCATATCTGTTGAAAATTATTTTTCCATACTACAAAGGAAAATTGATGTTTGATTTAAATTCTATTTCTATTGCAAAATCCTACCCAGATTTTGCCTCAGAAAGTGGAAGTGTTGAAATTGATTCCTAAATGTGACTTGTGGAATCAGATGGCACTAATTTGTAGTATTATTTCATATCATAAAGTATTTATAGAAAAGCAAGTTTTCTGTGGAAAAAAATAGTTAATAGAAGAAAATAAGATGGAAAAAACCAGATGACTAAAAAGTACATTCTGTCTGAACCACATGAATTTTGTCTGGTATTCTGGTAACTTTAGAAGTTTCTTCTTAAACAAGTCCTTGATTTTTATTATAAAATTATGTATCTAGATCATGTCTGCAGGACAATATGCAAGACTGTGCAGTTCATCTATGAACTTAGGTGATAAATGGTGATAAAATTTACCTTTTTCTAACTAGTCCATATTCTGTAAGTGGATAACAATTTACATTGTTCCAAGATCTTTCCTAGAACTCTTTTATACCAATATTCCTACCTTTTTCTTATTGCCTTCGCTATTGGTAAAAATAAACTCTTTTTTTTTTTCTTTTTAAATCTTTATTCTAAGGATTCTTCTAGAACGGGGAGGAATTCTTCCACAGAATATTCAGGACCAGAACCAAGACCTTAACCTCTGTACATCCTGTCATCCTGACAAGTTTTTCTCTCATGTCCGAGATGGCCTTAATTTTGGTACACAGATTGGGTTCATTTCAATTAGAGAATGAGGTACTGGTGGTTCCATTTTATCTTTCTAGTCTTTCTCTGTCTCTTGTCCCTGTCCACCACCTCTCTCCTTTTTCCTCTTTCAGCCTTTCACGCCCTTCATTTTAAAAAATTGTTAATTATATTTAACTTTACTCCTTTTTTCACATAGGGAGAGTTAAGTTTTATTTTTTTAGCAATGTAATAGTGATAGAAAGGTTTATTTTCAGTAACATACTCTGTTATAAAGAATGACCATGCCGGCTCGGCGCCTATAGCTCAACCGGCTAAGGCGCCAGCCACGTACACCTAAGGTGGCAGGTTCGGATCCCCAGCCCGGACCCGCCAAACAACAATGACGGCTGCAACCAAAAAATAGCCGGGCGCTGTGGCGGGCGCCTGTGGTCCCAGCTACTTGGGAGGCGGAGGCAGGAGACTCGCTTGAGCCCAGGAGTTGGAGGTTGCTGTGAGCTGTAATGCCACGGCACTCCACCCAGGGGGACAGCTTGAGGCTCTGACTCAAAAAAAAAAAAAAAAAAAAAAATGAAATGACCATGCCATATCCTAGTTAATGAAGAATAATCAGGGAGGCTTATGTTAGAGGTATGAAAATAAAATAATTTGCCCTTTAAAGAGCCCTTTTACTTATGTCCCGTATGTCCTTTATCGCTATTATGTGTTTGATATCTGTACATTTCCTATGATACCATCATTTTACCTTTCATATTTTTATTTTTGAGAAGAAATCTTTGCATACAGACTCTAAATTCTAGAATATTAAATACATATATACATATATTTGTACATACACACAAATTGTACATACTATATATAAACTTGTTTGGTTTTTAACTAGCTTTCCAACTGATTATCTGTAGTTGGAGTTTATCAAATTTTTCTTTAAAGGGCCAGACAGTAAATATTTTAGGCTTTGTGGGACATAACAATATCTGTCTTAGCTACTCTGACATTGCAGAGAAAAAGCAGATACTAATACTATAGAAGTGAATGTCTGTGTTCCAGTAAAACTTTATATACAAAAAAACAAGATGAGTAACTAGATTTGGCTCATAGGCTATAGTTTGCTGACACCTGATCTACAGTCATAGAGTAAGATTGAGAATAATTTCATTAAAATAGTGTTAATGAGAGATAATTATTTTATCTATAGGTAAAGTTTATTTTGATGAAGTTAACATTCACTTGGGTTTTTTCTGAAATTTCAGAATATTAGAGAGTATATATTTTGTTTACGTAGTTTGTTTTTGTGCAGATTGAGTCGAAGTTATTCATGTAAGTGTGCCCTTTACTCATTTAGTGCATACTGTACCCAATAGCTATGAATTTACCACTCCATCATGCTTGATTTTCAATGAACTGTATTCCCATATGTGCACTTAAGTGTCGATCAATTAGTTCCAGTTTGAAATTGAGTACATGTGTTTGTTTCTCTATTCTTGTGATGTTTCCCTTAGAAGAATGGTTTACAGTTCTCTCCAGGTTGTCCAAAAAGAGACTAGCTCACAAGTGTTTTTATGGCAGAGTAGTACACTATAGCATGCATATACCACATTTTATTTTATTTTTTTAATTTTTAATTTTCTTATTTCAAATTCATACAAGGTTACACAAGTTTAGGTTCCATTGTTTTCAATTCTAAGATAAAGTTCAAGGAGTACTTGAGCCCTTCACCCATAGGGCATGCTGAATACCCTCATGTTCTGCACATTAGGTGAGATCCTGCTGATTGACCTGTTCCCTGCCCCCTGCTCTCTTTTCCCTCCTCTCCCCTACCCCTTGCTAGACTATACTTTTTTTTCTTTCATGTGAATGCATAAGTTATTTGTATATTGGTTTCATATTGGTATTGAGTACATTGGATGCTTTTTTTTTCCATTCTTGAAGTACTTCACTAAAAAGAATGTGCTTCAATTCCCATTCAGGTATTGGTGGGCACTTGGGTGGTTTCCATGTCTTTGCATTTGTGAATTGTGCTGCTGTAAACATTCAAGTGCAGGTGTCCTTTTCATAAAATGACCTTTTTTCCTTTGGGTATACACCAGCAGTGGGATTGCTGGAGCAAATGATAGTCTACCTTCAGTTCTTTGAGATGTCTCCACATAATCTTCCATTGAGGTTGCACTAGTTTGCAATCCCACCGACAGTGTATAAGAGTTCCTTTTATCTCTGCATTCAAACCAGCATCTCTTGTTTAGGGACTTTTTAATACGAGCCATTTTCATTGTAGTTAGGTAATATCTCATGGCTTTTTGCATTTTCCTAATGGTTAGAGACATTGAGCTTTTCTTTTTTTTTTAGACAGAGCCTCACTATGTCACTCTTGGTAGCATGCCTTGACGTCACAGCTCACAGCAACCTCAAAATCTTGGGCTTAAGTGATTCTCTTGCATTAGCATCCCAAGTAGCTGGGACTACAGGTGCCCACTACAATGTCCAGCTATTTTTTGTTGACAGTTGTCATTGTTGTTTAGCTGGCCCAAGTGGGGTTTTAACCGACCAGTCTCAGTGTATGTGTCTGGTACCGTAACCACTGTGTTACTTACAGGCGCCCAGCTGTTGAGCTTTTTTTATGAGTTTGTTGGCCATGAGTATAGCTTCATTTGAAAAGTTTCTGTTCATGTTTTTTGTCCACTTTTTAATGGGGTTGTTTGGTTGTTTCTTACTGATTTGCTTGATTTCTTTATAGATTCTGGTCATTAGTCTTTTATTAGATGTGTAACATGAATATTATCTTCCATTCTGTGGGTTGTCTATTTGCTCTTTTGAGTATGTCCTTGATGGTACAGAAACCTATTAATGGTTTTAGTAGAATTATGCAAAAATACGTCATGATAATGATTTAGCACTACCCCGTTAGCATATACCTGTGTGTATTTTCAGTCTTTGCAATGTTTAGCTCTTCAATACACAAAAAACTTTAATAGACTTTATGATTCTTACCTTGATATTATAATAGCACCAATAAAGGTCTCATATTTGATTTCTATGTATTTTACAGATGCTTGACTGGATTCTTGCTATAATGTTTCCTGCCTCCTTCCAAACTGCAAGAGAGAAATTTAGCTGTTTGATTTATTTAAAATCAAAAAGATTACATTGGATAATTCATCTTTAGGGCATATTTTTACTACTGTCCAAAGCCAAATGATTTTCATTTAATTCTGATAATAACTGACAAAAATCAATATGATATAGTTTTACAGTATATATTTTACAGTAACAAAGACTATTTTTAAGGTTTGTTCTACTTATTACATAATCAGGAACAGATTTTTCTCAGTTCAGTATTTATTGAACATCCTGTATTTGTCAGCCGTTTTGTTAGGCATAGATGAATCAAAATGAATGACTTTTTCCCTTTGAGTCTAATGTAGAAGAGATAAACACTTCTACAACTTTAATAGCAGCGGAAGAGTACAGAAGAAGTAGGGGTTAATTTTACCCAGAAGGCAGGGTAGAGAATTTATTACAGAGAAAATCCCATATCACATGGGCCCAAAAGATTTATAGGCTTTTTATAGATGAGGAACAACCATAATAGGTAGAGGGAACGCTATGAATTATGGCATGAAACTGAAAGTGCATAACATGTTCTAGAGAAAGGAAGGTATAGGCAGGAGTTAGGACTAGAAAAAAAGGTTGGAAACAGGTTGGTAAAGGGCTTAAATGCCATGTCAAAGAGTTTGGAATTTATTTTCCAGGCAATGAGTCAGCATAAAATAAAGAAGAAGGGGAGTATATTCATTTCCATGACGTCATATTTAACAGGTTAGGTTCAAATTGTGTGAGACCAAAGCAGAAAGATTAGATAAGAGGTGGTCAAAGTATTTCAAAAAGGAAATAATGAAGATCCAATGAAGGCTGTGAAGGTTAAAATGGAGAAGAAAGGAAATGGATTAGAGAGACATTTCAGAGGTAGAATTAATAATCCTATTACTAGATAATAGAAGTCAAAGGTAAAGAAGAGTGGAAAAGTCATTGATGACTGTAAGATTTCTGCTTGGCTAACTACCTATAGTGACAATAGAAAGAGGAGGAGGAGGTTTGAGATAAGGGAGAGGGATAATGAGTTCCACTTTATACAGAGTAAGTGCATTCTGATGGAAATATTTGGTCAGTAATACAGACCTAGAAATTAGAGAGCCTGAGACAAAGTCACAGATTTGAAAGTTGGCTATGCAGATATAATGCTTTCTTCTATTGGATCAGGCTGGATAATCTAGGCAGAAATTAGAGTAAGAGCAAAGAAAATTTAAGGGCAAAACTTTATATATAATACCTGCATTTGAAGAATAAGCTGACCTAGTTAAAAAAAATAGTCAATTAAAGAATAAAACAGGACATAGTCATTCTGAAGAAGTTAGCACAAGAGTAGGAAGTATTCAAAAAGAAATCTTCAGGAATAAAATAAAGTAGGAACTGAAAGGAAACTAGTGGCTTTAACCCTATTGAAGCTGTTCTTACGCAGTGGTGGCAGAGTCAGATTTCAGTGCATTGAGGAAGAAGATGTATAAATATCAACTCTTCTTCGAAAGTATTTACTAGAGAAGAGAAAAATACCGGGACTGTACCTTGAAGGAAGCAGGTGGGGTTTTTTGGTTTTTTGATTTTTTGATGAATGGTTTTGAGTATGTTTGTAGGCTAAACGGGAGAGTTAAGCTACTTTTCATTTAGGAAAAATGGTATATATTTTTATTGTAAGTTGTCACATTGCATCTTGAAAATTTCTTATTTCATACATACGTACATACATTTCCTATTTGTATATGCAATAGAATAACAGCAAATAACATTTTTTTTTTTTGATATTTACAAAGGACTTTTATGTATCATACCTCATGTTACCTTTATTGGTACTCCGAAAGACTTAGGTCAGGTGTTACCCCTTTTTTCAGATGAGAAAGCTGAGCCTCACTGAGGTGGAAGTCACATAACTTGTGATGAAGTAAGATTTGAACACACATGTTGTGACTCTAGATCTCCTATCAGATTTTACAGTTAATAAAAACTATTTAAATTATATTTTTATTTTTAACTTTTTGTTAAGGTCATTTATTCATATGAGGTACTGGGATAAGTTAAGAAAATATAATTGTAGCCCTCAAGATGTTTAATATCCAGTGAAAGTGACAGTCAGTAAACCAAAAATTTCAGTAGTGTATGTGTTGTGAGGTTGCTACTATATGTTACCTTGTTTAGTTTAATTTTTAATATTCCATAGCCCAGAGTGAAATTTAAATATCTCATTTCTTTCAGTTCAGGGAAGGCATTAAACACAGCATAGGATAGAGATTTTGAACTCATGAAAAATACTATTTTTTTCCATGATAAAAATAAAGATTAAAGAATAATTTCATACATTAAGAAAGATCAGTAATTTTCTGATTCTCTACTGTGCATTATTTTGTTTAAAGTTCACAAATTTACACAATATTAAGCAACTTTATTACTCTTTATGTACCATAACATTCTAAAACCAAATAAAATTTATTTTGACTACTTATGATTTTGGATTATTTGTGCCAAAGTTTATAATAAAAAACTATCTCATTGTTTCACTAAGTGAAAAGTACTGATTTGCTAAGTGAAAAGTATTGATTTAGTAACTCAGAACTACTGGGTTATTAAATAATCATGTCTTACTGCTTCTACAACACACCTGTCACTCTCTAGCATTTGTATGTAGGGTTTTTGGAATACAAGAATGATGAAGATTTCTAGAAAGTTTTGTTTCTATAAACTAAGGCACTACTACTAACTGCACATAGGAAATATTCTTTGCTATTTTATTAATGAGAGGCATTAAGTTCATAAATGAGTGTTCATGACATGACTTTTTGGAAGTACTAATTATCAAAATAAAATTTACTGTACCATTGATCTAATTGTAAGTTTACATTGGGAAGAATAACATAGTGATTAAATATGCTATACTCTAATGCTTCACAAAACATATGAGAGGATCTCACCAGGTCATCAATAGTGCCACCAGGAGGCACTATTTCTGCAAGTAGCTTTGGTTTGGTTTAAAGTTCATCTATGTAATACTTGTGTAAATAAAGGAGGAGGCATTTGAAGTTAGTAAATTTATTGCTTTTTAGGTACAGCATATTGTGTATCAAGTAGATAAGAGCATTTAGGAACCTTTACCCACCTTGATCTCACTTCTATAAAATCTCTAGTGCCTCCTTTTTGGTAAGTAGATTTATGAGAAAAATTCAGACAAGCTTATTCTGTGTCACATGACCAAAACAAATATGTATTCAGAAGCTGAAGGAAAAAATAATAGTGACATAATGAGTTACATTATATCTTAAAGTGGGATTTGAAAATTTGTTTTCACTTGGTTGTCCTAAAGTTACACTTAGAATTTGTCCATCTTTTAGTGTGAAAAGTAATCTGTTATCATTTATCTGTGTGTATGCATGGGTCTGTGTGTATGTGCTAAGTGGCAAACGAGAAATAGGTGGGTGTTAAACATGATATACTATGACCTTTTTACTGTAGCTACTATAAATTCACAAAAAAACACATTGGATGTGGTGGAATCACAGAATTTTTTTTTTGAATTGTGCAATAAAGAATTAGAAGCATGGTACATATGTTTACTAGGTGTATTTATGGGGACCCTGGTCTAGAGCATGCATATTTCCATTGTAGGCAGTGTTTTAAAACTTGTCATTTTAAAGATTGAGGCAGCTTCCATAAGCATTGCATTGTTCTGTGCTAGATTATTGTTTAAAGATGAGAAAAGAAATCTGCCAGTCGTACTTTTTCCAGATCAGTACATTTTAGCTGAACTCACCATTACGTGTCAACTGTGTTGAGACAAAGTTTTCCTACTCTCTTTAGATTCATTTTCTTTGCAGAAAAGGAAATGCTTACATTCTCTGTGACCTTGTACCAAGAGCCTGAGGTGACCTATGTCCCTTCTATATTTGAAGTAGGCTTTTTGTTTTATTCTCAGGAGTGCCTAGTTACTGTATTTTATTAAACAATTCAAATTTATCGCAGACTCCGTAGCTCAAAATACCACCTTCCTGACTATATAAAAAGAGTACTCATTTCATGAGAAACATCCACAGAAAATCGATTTGATTATGGTAACAACTGATTTTTTTTT